GGGGGGAAAGATGAGAGAGAGGAAAGGTACCTTTTTGGATCCGCCTGCGCCTTGCGCACTTGCTCCTCCTCGCCGCACGCGCCCTCGTCTGGCTTGCTGCGCTTCATGGCCTTGGCGCCAGCCGCTAAACAAGTATGTTCTGTGGTCTGCAGACCAGCCTTCTCAACCCCGACGTCTACAGAAATATGTCTACAGAAAACCTGTCTACGGAAATTGTATCGTAATAACATTCCGAACATTCATTTCCATTCCGATTTTTAACTTGCACCGTTCCGAGATTTACCAATTTCGCGAAATAAAATACCAAATGTAACACGAAACGAAAGTCCAACGAAACGAAATTTCGAACGAGACAGAACTCAATACGAAACGGAAACCAAATGAAAACCGAAACGAAACGAAACGATACGAAAACCAACATGAAACCGAAACGAAATGCTAAACGAAAGGCGAAATGATATGAAAACGGAACGAATTAATTTTCTTTTCGTTTTTCGTGTCATTTTTTATATCGCCCACCATCTGAAGTCGTCGGCGATGGCTCTCCTTGACCTCGCCGAGAACGGAATCTGCTGCTGGCACCGGCTTCTCGCCCTCCTCTTCTGCGAAGGCGCGAAGGAGAGGCAGCGGTCGATCCCGTCGATCACCACGTCGGCGCAAAGGGATCGGCGTGTCGACGATGAGGACCGTGCTTCCGATCCGAGCTGCGCCGTGTCTGCTTCGTCGAGCGGTCGATCCCGTCGATCACCACGTCGGCATACTGCATGACCCGACGCACGCAGCCGGGCAGTAACTCGCGGTGATTCCCGCGCGCGGTGGCCACCGGCGCGCTCAGGGTACCCGAGAGGTCGTGGCTCGAGCGTGACGTCGGGGGGAGGGGGGTTTACCCACGACGAGAGCGATGGCAATCACCACCAGCCACCAGCCACCAGCACCACCACCGTGCCGTCCATGCGTAGTGCTGGCCCGGCGAGAGGATGATCTTCTTGCCCCCCCCCCATGCCTGGAGGATGAGGTTGCCGGCGCCCCCTGACGTAGCCGCCGCCGCCGCCGCCGCCGCCGTACCAGTAGAAGCTGCCGGCCACGATGACGTCGCCCTCGAGGGTGAGCGAGGCGCCGTCATCGACTCGAGGGTGATGGCCAGGAAGGCCGAGAGTGGGGGCAGCAGCAGCAGCAGAAGAAGTTGAGCGCTCCCGACACTTCGAAGTCGGGGGGTGCCCATGCTGCGGTGCATCTTGCTGCCCTTGATCACGTTCCCGGGTACCGCCACGGTGTTCGACGTGTTGCCGCTGCTGCTCCGGACATGATCGCGGTAAGCCTCCACCCACGTTCTCGAGTCGACCTCGAAGCGCTGCGAGCCGGCGTTGAACTCTCACGGCGACATGCGCGGCTGCCGGCTGTCCACCTCGCTCGCGTTGGCGTTGTTGGCGTAGCCGCCAGGCAAAGGTCAACGTGATGTTGAGCGCGGCGACTCCGTCCGTCGAACCCTTGGTTGGCGACAGTGAACTTGCACCGCCGGTGAAGGTGGCGCTACCCAGCACGACCTGACGCTGCGCGCCGGCGTTGCTGAGCGGGTCCGCGAAGGTGGACCAAGCTGCGGGTCTGCGCGCGCGGTGGTGAAGGTGGCGTTGGCGCCGATGGCCAGCGCGCGCCGCCGGTGACCTCCAGAAGTTTTTGCCGCCCGAGAGGGCCGATCCATAAGCGAGCTGCACCGTGGTGGTGGTGGTGGTGTTGGCGGTGACGCGGAGCAGGCCGGTGCACCGGTGACACCTGGAGCCCAGCGTTGTAGTGCACCGCGCCGCCGCCGCCGCCGCCGAGTGCGAGCACGCCCGATGGCGGTGTAGAGGTGGACTACGAACACGTTGACGGTCGCGGTCGCGGACGCGGCGCCCACCTTGTTGAGATCTGGCCGTAGCTGACGAGCCTGCCGTGTCGTTGACGCCGATCAGGATCCCGGCCGACTCAAGCCCGAGTGTCGCCGACTTGCATCTTTTCCTCTGCCGGAAGAAGCCTCAGCCGAGGGAAACTTTGGGCGGCGGCGGCGGAGGCAGCAGTGCAGCGCGGCGAGGCGAGCATGTGCGTGCGTACCCATCCAGACCTGCTCTCGAACTCCCGGCCATCCGGGCAGATGAGGCGCCCGTTCCTCCGTCCCACCTGTGCGCAGCGACATCACGCCAGCGCCGTTGAGCGCCCGCCACACCACCACCCGCCGCCACCGCCACGAGCCACCATCACGGGCGCGAGGGAGAGGGGAGAGTGCGGTTACCTTCCACTCCGGGTGCCCACGCGGCGATCCTTTTCGTAGCTGCCCACGTACGTGGCTCCATTCCCGTACTCGCGGCGGCCGAACCCGTGAGCCTGGTGGGTGATGGGCGGCGGAGGTGTGTCAGACGAGGGAAGAAGAAGAAGAACCAGCGAAGCGTGCTATGGGGACGGGGGACGGGGACGGGGAACCTTCGTCTGCTGGAAGGGCGGCGGCGGCAGAAGCGTACCTGGTGAGGAAGGGCCTTCCTGGTGGGGCCGTCATGCCACTCGCCGACGTAGTAGCCGCCGCCTGGCCACACGAGCTTGCCCTGCCCCTTCCGGGTGTCGTTTTCCCCGCGGCCGTGGGTACCAGGTCCCGTTTGGCCTGCGAGGTGAGCGAGGGGCAGCAGACAGACGCTTCCTCCGAAGCAAGCAGCGCATCAGCTGAAGTGGGCGTCAGATGCACTTGCCCTGTACTGTCCGCCCGTAACCGGAACAACGATGAAGGGGGGCGGAGAGGAGATCGCCTGTACGTCAGCAAAGCCACAAAAAAAGAAGCCCCTCCACGCGCGCGGTACGACGGGAGGAAGAAGGAGGAAGCTCGTACGTGGTCTCCTGTCCTCCACTACCCTCTCGCTTGCCATTCTTTTATCTATTCGTAATAGGATGCCTTGGTGGTAGACGGAGATGTTGTACTGCGCAGCTCTGGAGACGCGGTAGAGCAGAGTGTAGGTTCCGTTCTTATGGTCCACGATGGCCGATTTATCCACATAGGGGCCTGTCGGTTTGAGTGAGTAAGTCACGGGACTGCAGAGAAGTGGGCGAAGAAAAGAGGTGTGGCATACCGTCCACGTGCATGGTCATTGTTCGCCTCCTGTCGTCGTCGGCTGGCCGGGCGAAACGCAAATAGAAATTTAAAACGAAACGAAACGATAAAAACGATAAAAACAAAATGAAATACGAAACGAAACGGAAAAAAACGAAATGAAAATTAAACGAAACGAAATACAAAAGAAATAAAAAAATAGAAGAGGAAATGAAATGCAAACGAAATGAAAATCGAAACGTAAAAAGCAAAACGCAACAGAAATACGAAACAATGTTATTGTTTTTTTCGTTTTATCGTTTTGCTTTATCGTTTAATTTTTGTTTCGTTTCGTTTCGTATTTCCTTTCGTTTATTTCGTATTTTGTTTCATTTTTATTTCGTTTCGTTTCGTTTCGTTTCGTATTTCATTTCGGTGCCACGCTGCCCTCCATGAGGCAGGTGACGCCGTAGCTGCACTGTCGAACAGGTCCTGGTTGGTGTAGGATGATGCTGCTGGGTCCAGGGCGAAGCTGCCGCCCACACCAGCTCGCAACGTGACCGCGCAGCCGGGCAGAAATCACCCTCGTCTACGATGACCACCATCCAGAGGGTGGTGCCGCTGCTGCGGATGCCCACAATAGGTGAGCGGCTGCGTGACGCTGACCTGCGCGTGCGCCGTCGATCGCCATCGGCGTCGAGGTCGCAGATCGACCTGCGCCTGCGGTTGCCACCAGGCCGGTGGTCGGGCCGGTGGTGGTGGTGGTGGAAACCTCGCCCGCTGCGAGGGCGCGGTTGAAGAGCCGCGTGGCGCCGGCAGATGGTGCTGCTGCCGTTGACGGTCGCGGTCGCGGACGCGACGCCCACCTTGTTGAGATCTGGCCGTAGTTGACGAGCCTGCCGTGTCGTTGACGCCGATCAGGATCCCGGCCGACTCGAGCGCGAGCGAGGGTCGCCGACTGGTTGGTGAGCAGGACGCCCGAGTGGTGGGCAACTAGGCCACGTCGCCGGCGACACCCAGCGCTGGGTCAGGTTGGTCTTCTTCTTCTTCTTCTTGACCATGACGGCGTCGTCGATCGTAAGCGCGCCGATGGTGACGTTGAGGGGTACAGGGCGACATGCCGCTGGAGAGGGCCTGGCCGTAAGCCGGTCACGGTGCCCAGCTGGATCCACGTCTGCCCACAGTGAGGAGGCCGTCGACGATCGTTGAGGGTGCCGCTGCCGGCACATGGCGCCTGAACATTCGCCACGTGTGGCATTGGCCTGCACGCGCGGATGACGGCCGAGGTCGAGCCGCGGATGGTACCGTCCACCCAGCTGCTGCTGCCGCTCTGGCCGAGAGTGTCTTGAGGGAGCACGCCGGTGCTCGCCTTGTCCGCGCGCGCGGGCGTGTCCGGCGATGAACTGGCGACTGACTGACTGGGGCGACGATGGAGCCATTCACTGGCGAGACACCATTGAACCGCCCGACATGCGGTAGGTGTCTGTGACCGTGAGCAGCAGCGAGACCATGCTGCTGCTGCTGCTGCTGCTGACGATGATGATGTCGGAGGTCGACGTGTCGAGCCTTACATCACGGAGAGCTTTTTGTTGCGGGCGTTGGGCATCCAGTCGATGTGGAACACGAGGAGCCCGCCGCCCATCGGATACAGCACCAGCTCCACGCGCGGCACCCCAATCCTGAGCGACGTTGTCTTCGCATCCAGCGCCGACACCGTCGACGGTCCGCTGCACACGACACACGACGCGTCAGAAACAAACTATGAAATGAATGTGTGCTGCACGAAGAAAGAGAGAGAGAGAGATGGGAGGAGGTACGGGGAGCCGGGCATGGTGGACATGAGAGAAGGGATGCCAATGACGGGAGTGACGGGCCGCCTCGACTGGGAGTGCCGCAGGCTTGCGCTTGCTGGGCGTAGCACCGATGGCGTCATTGTCGTCGTCGGCGCTGTCATATCCTTCTCCTCCTCCAGCTCCTTGTCGTACTCCGCGTCACCACCGTCTCTGCTGGTAACGTTCGTGCTGCTGGAGCTCTGGTCGCCCTACGTAGGGCGTCGACCAAGACCTGGGCAGCACTCCCCGCGCACTGCCAGCTGTCACTGCCGTCACCGCCGCCGCTGCCGCCGCTCGGCCCGGGCGTGGCCAGGCCGCCGGGCTGGCGGGGGTGCAGCCCGTGAGGCGCTGATGGCGATGGGCGGGAAGGCTGGCATTGAGGTTCCACGTGTGCCGCCCGTGGCCAGGTGAAGCCCGCGTGCGCGTGCGCGAGAAGTCGAAAAGAGGCCCAGCACTTTGATGTGTTGATGCCGCCGCCGGAGCTGGCCAAGTTTGAGGCAGGCAGTTGTCGACCATCTTAGCGCCAGTACCGGACGAGACCACCAGAGATGGTGAGTGGCGGGAGGGCGACGACCAAGCCGAGCAGGACCGACTGCCCGCCCGAGGCGACCTGGGAGGTGGCGTCGACGACGAGCTGCAGTTGTTGTAGGCGCCCGAGACGGTGACACTCTTCTCGGCCGGCCAAGAGCGACGAGTTGGCGGCGGACCGAACGAGTAGGAGGAGGAGGAGCAGCGAGGAGCAGCGTCGACGCCGAGCTGGCGACGGACGGTGAGGATGTTGAGGAGCGCACGTGACGAAAGCACGTGTTCCTCAAGTGATCGAACGCGGAGGAAGTCGCGACGAAAACCACCATCTACATCACAATGTGTGTCCGTTGAGAAATGTAACTCCGGACACACCTCACCAATAAATGGGCCACGGAGACAACAACTCAGTAGTCTCTCGTCTCTCTCTCACCACACAAGCACGCTCTGCTCAACAGGTTATGGGCCCACGCTCATGACGACACACGAAGGAGGTCACCGCTTCACGTTGAAGACTGCCGCTGACTACGCGGCCTGGAGAGACGAACTGTCGGCCGTGCTGCAGGCGCGAGGGCTATGGGACTTAGCCTTCGGGGACACCGCCGAACCCACGCAGCTACAAGGAGAGACCGCCGCCCAGTTCGCACTTCGAGGCATCGACTTCAACCAGCGCAAGATGCAAGCCGCCGGCCTCATTCGCCTGAGCCTCGGACGACACTTCCGATCCATCGTCAAGCAGCATGAGACGGACCCGAGGAGGATGCTCGAGACGCTCGACGCCCAGCTCAAGCCGAAGGCGAACGCCGGCAAGCTCGATATGCTCATGCGCCTGACCAACATCAAGCGCGACAGCAGTGAAGACCTTGACGCCTACTTCGGACGCATCTACGCGCTCGCCGGAGAGCTGGAGGCCAATGGCCTAGCACTCCCAGAGACGTACCTCCTCATGGTCACGCTCAACGGCCTGCCCACAGACTACGACCCAGTCCGCACCGTCATCGAGAGCACCGACGACATCAGCCTGTCGAAGGCACAGAAGATGCTCCGCAACAGAGAGGCGCTCCTTCTCACTCGCGGAGACCACGCTGAGTCTGTCAACTACGTCTTCAAGCAGCGCCAACGAGGCAAGGGGCCGACTTGAGGCTGTGACCGACGCGACAACAAGGAGGCGAAGAAGAAGTCCAGTCAAGGCAGGGAGCCCAAGTGCTACTACTGCGGTGAGATCGGACACATCTGGCCTGACTGCCTGAAGCGCAAGTGCTACGACAAGGCTGACCGCGTGAACGTGGCCCAACGTGACCTCTCCGACACTGACGATGAAACCGTCCTGGCCACCGTGGAGCAGCGCAAGGCGATGACCAACGAGGAGAACACCTGGTACCTCGATTCAGGTGCCATGTGTCACGTCACCTGTAATCAGGACTGGCTCCATGACTACGTTGATCTCACTGGTGAATCCCACAACCTGATCCTCGGCGACAACTTCAAGTGCTGTATTCATGGCTACGGCACGCTTCACACCACCACTCACGTGGATGGGGGCAAGCGCAAGGTCACGTTCCAGAAAGTCCTCTACGCACTGGAGCTAGCCAAGAATCTACTCTCAACAGCACGCATTGCCAGCAAGGGCTGCCAACTCACCATCAACACACAGGGCTGCTGAGTCAACGACCACCAAGGCCGAACGATCCTACGCGCCAAGGCCTGAGGCAACATGCTGATCGTACCCATCAAGCCCGACTTGCCCTCGCACCAGGTCAACACCATCCGTCAGCTCCTGACCCTTGATGAGCTTCACCGCTGTTTCGGCCACGCCGGGGAGAAGTGACTTCGTGCCACCCTCAAGGCCCTTGACATTGAAGCTGCAGACTCCCCACTCTGTGCCTGCCTCGTCTGCAAGAAGGGCAAGCAGACCCGCAAGCTGATCCGGTCGGGGCGCGCCTTGAGCCACTGCACCACTTGAGCGTGTGCATTCTGATGTCTGCGGCCCCTTCCCGTTCCCACGCGTGAAGGCAAGCGCTTCTTCGTCAGCTTCATCGACGACTACAGCAGGTATGCTGCAATCTACCTGCTGCCCAATAAAAGCAAGGTGCTCGCCTCATTTAAGCATTATCTCGCCACCGCGCCTGACGGGAAGAGGTGCTGGAAGCTGCGATTGGACCAAGGCGGCGAGTACACTGGATTGGAGTTCCAGAGGTTCCTGCACGAGCAAGGCATCATCCATGAGAAGGTAGCCCCGCACACGCTGGAACACAATGGAGTAGCCAAGCAATTCAACCACACCATCATCAACATGGTGCAGTGCATGCTCTTCGACAGTGGCCTGCCCAAGAGCTTCTGGGGCGAAGCACTCACAACAGTGGTCATGATCAACAATTGGCTCTCCACTGTCACCAACCAAGGCCGCCCACCAATGTCGACCTGGAACGACAACCAACGCCTTACACTACATGAGATACACTGGTTCAGATGCCCAGTCTCAACGCTGACACCCTCTGGCAACCAAGACAAGCTTGAGTTGCATGTGCACAAGGGAATCTACCTTGGACCCACATGGAACAACTCAACTCATCATTGTGTCCTCATCAACGGCCAAGTACTGGAGTCCAGACAGGTCACCTTCAACGATGACCTCCCTGCCACGTCACCTGAAGAGCCAAGTGTTGACAATCTACTTGAGATCCCAGGGCTGCACATGGAGAACAGGGCACCCCACGAGGAGACAAGCCAGTGCAAAGACCAGGAGTTGGACAACGACCTCAATGCAGGCGACACGGACAACATGCCCATGCAAGGACGCTCCCTTTCCCAACTCCACACATGGCTAGCACAAGACAACACTCCTACCCCACCTGCAGACAAGGAAGAAGAAACAATCCACATGACCAACACAGCCAACGAGGTGGAGCCAATGAATGACAACACAGAACACAAGAAGAGCAACAACACGACAACCCATCAGCCTCCCATCCAGCAACTCGCAAAATGACGTGGCACAACCAGAACCCAAGCCATGACCATCTCAGCCAGCACCCTGTTGACCAGTGACACAACAACCCACAAACTTGGCTTCAAGCGACTGCGAGGCTGGCCTACGCCAAAGAAACCGCCACCACGCAAGAGATGGCTGAGCCAACTGCTGACCAATGGCACATACCTCACACTAGTAGTCGTCAAAGATGAGCTAGTGCACACGCAGATCCCCAACAGCTACCAAGAAGCTATCCAGTCACCCAAAGCCAACCAGTGGCTCAAGGCCATGATGGAGGAGATCAAAGCACTCACCCACAACTGCGTCTTCAAGCTGGAGCCACTGCCTGCGGGAAGAAAGGCCATCAGGGCACGTTGGCTATTCAAGATCAAGCGCCTCACCAACGGCATGATCAACCACTTCAAGGCCCAATGGGTGGGCAAGGGGTACTCACAACAACCCAGAATTGATTTTGATGAAACCTTCTCCCCCGTCGTGCACATCAAGAATCTACAACTTCTGCTGGCCATTGCGACCGCGCTTGACCTCAAGATCCATCAGATGGATGTGGACACCGCATTTCTCAACGCCAAGCTAACCGAGGAGGTGTACATCGAACAACCAGAAGGCTTCGTCGACCCTGACAAGCCGCACCACATGTGCAGACTGCTAAAGAGCCTTTATGGCTTAAAGCAGGCTCCGCACGAGTGGAACCGCACCCTCGACGCTCACCTTCATGACAACGACTTCAAGCCAACAGTCACCGACCCATGCATCTACATCCATCAACAGGAAGACCATCAACTAGTCATGATTGCCGTCTACATCGATGATTGTATGATCATCGCTCCCAAGCACCTCCTCAATGAGACCAAGAACGTGCTACGACGACACTTCAAGATGAAGGACCTGGGTGAAGCTGAATCCGTCCTTGGCATTGAGATTCACTGAGACTGAAAGCAAGGGACACTCTACATCCACCAACCGGCCAAGATCCTCGAGCTCCTCCACGACTACCGCCTGCACGACTCAAATATCACAACACCAATGGAGCCCGGACTCAACCTGCCGAAGCTAGATCGCACGGCCAACAAAGACAGGAGCCTGCCTTACCACTCGGTGGTAGGCAGACTATGCTACCTGGCCCATTTGACTTGGCCTGACATCGCCTTCGCCATCAACGTGCTGAGTTGACACCTTGCGGCCTACTCCAAGGCACACTGGAGTGCGGCCAAACACCTGCTACGGTACCTACAAGGAACAATTCACTACGCAATCAAGTCCGACCGCTCGAGTCTCGAAGACCACGTGGACAACCCCGACGACGGCGCGAGCAGACTCATTCCCCAAGTCTACTGCGACGCCGACTGGGGGGAGATGTCAACACTCGGCGTTCGACAACCGGAATCGTCTGCACCCTACTCGGCGCGCCCATCTACTGGTCTTCGAAATCGCAACGCTGCATCGCGCTGTCCACCTGCGAAGCGGAGTACAACGCGCTGACGGAGGCAGCCAAGCAGTCAGTCTATCTTCGCGACATCTGCGACGACCTCGGCCTCACATCGAGCAGACCGACGATCGTCTACAACGACAACCAGGCGGCGCTCAAGATCGCCAACTCCAACCCCGGCGAGCACCACCCACGATCGAAGCACTACGCAGTCAAGCTCGCGTATCTTCGAGAGTTGATCGCCAACGGACACGTCGAGCTACGCCACCACCCCTCTCGAGACATGCCCGCCGACGCGCTCACCAAAGCCTCCGGACGAACGCGCGTCATCGAGCAGCTGAAGCTACTCGGCATGTTCGATTCCCCGGTTTCGATCAAGGGGCGTGTTGAGGAGCGCACGTGACGAAAGCACGTGTTCCTCAAGTGATCGAACGCGGAGGAAGTCGCGACGAAAACCACCATCTACATCACAATGTGTGTCCGTTGAGAAATGTAACTCCGGACACACCTCACCAATAAATGGGCCACGGAGACAACAACTCAGTAGTCTCTCGTCTCTCTCTCACCACACAAGCACGCTCTGCTCAACAGAGGAGACCGTTGTAGAGGAACCGCTGCCGCCGAGGGCCAGGGTGCCTGCCGCTGCTGGAGTCGCGCTGATCGCGGCCTGCTCGTTGAGTCGAGTCGAGAGCACGTTGTTGGAGACGCTGAGCATCACGAGCACAGAGCTGGCCGACTTGGCCATCTGGCCGAAGAGACGAGCAGCTGGCGGCGGTGCGGCGACGGTCTCGGTGGCCATGGCACCGCCTGCGACGGTCGCCTGCCACGTGTGGCATTGGCCGGCACGCGCGAATGACGGCCGAGGTCGAGCCGCAGATGTTACCGGCCCCCAGCTGCTGCCGCTCTTGACGAGGTTGTCTTGAGGAGCACGCCGGTGCTCGCCTTGTCCGCGCGCGGGCGTGTCCGGCGATGAACTGAACTGGTGCTGGCCGGCAAAGTTGACCGGTTGCTCTGGAGCCCGCGCGCGAGCGAGCCGCCCGACACTGTCGGAGAGGCTCATCATCTGCTGTGGAGGGCCCTGGAGGTCGACGAGGCCGCTGGAAATGGTGAGCGGCGGGAGGGCGACGACGCTCGCGGGCACCGTGGCGAGCACCAGGCCGCCGCACGGTGACGCTGCCGCGCCCTACGTCACGTTGTTGAGGACGTTGTTGACGTTCTTCTCGGTCGGCCAAGAGCGACGAGTTGGCGGCCGCTCACGGTCGTCGTAGAAGCTGTCGGCGCCGCCGGCACGAGGCCGCCTGCCAAGCCGGCGATGGAGCCAAGCTCTTCCACTGAACGTTGCCCGCGTGGTGTTGGGCGTGGCGGCCTGGAGGGCCTTGGGCTCCCGAGTAGCCGCTGAGGGTGAGACGGGTTGTTGTAGTTGGCCTGCACGGTGACGATGCTGGACAGCCCAACGCCGCCGCTCCACGCCACCAACGCATTCTTGGCTGAGTCAGTCACGGCGGGCGACGAAGCGCCGGTGCAGCGCCGGAGAGGGTCGCGCCGGCGTCGACGGACCACCGGTGGCAGGGTCCATGCGGAACACACCTTGACGCAGTAGGTCAGGCCGGCTGCCGGACACGGCCAGCGCCTGGTTGCTGTCGACGATTGGTTGGGCGCAGCGACCTGGTGAGGTTGCTGCTGCTCACGCTGGCCGCAGAGCTAGTGGAGTTGACCACGACGACGACGACGCCCGAGGCGACGCTGGCCGAAGAACTGGTGGAGCGCAGCGCAGCGGCGCGCCGCTGGCCCAGCTCACCGCCGGTGGACTGACGCCGGTCACATGAGTGAGCGCAGCGGTGGTGAGGGTGACGCCGCGGGTCGGCAGAACGAGAAAGCCGGAGCTGGAGAGGGCAAGCGCTTTGCACGGTGGCCGAGGCGGTCAGGGTGACGGGGCCAGTCAGCGCTGACGATGGCCGTGTCGGTGCTGCGGGGGGGGGGAAACGATCGCCCACGGGCTCCTCCGCGAACAAGTTGCCGCTCATGGCCGGGCAGATCCAGGTCACGCTGGTCGCCGCGACGTTCGACGAGCACCCCTGCATCTGGCTCTTGACCGTGCACGGGAGACTTCGGTCGGCGAGGCGTAGGTGATGAGTCTGGTAGGTGTTGGAGGCCTGCGGGCGGACAGGTGATGCCCAGCTCGTGAGAGACCACCGACGGTGGTACGATCAGATCTGCCGCTTCGAAGGAAGCATCCACATGGTCGGTCAAGGTTGGCGCCGATGCTGATGGTCTTGCTGATGTCAGATCTACGAGCCATCGTCGGCCAAGTTGAGCGATCCCACCCGTCGGCGTGTGTTGGCTGGCAAAAAGAAAAATAGGTCGGGGGGATAGACGTGTGTGTTGTAAGGCATAGCCAAGCTGAGAAAGTACCACGACAGTGAAGTTGTGGAGGGTAATGAGCATCTGGCGCCGGGACCTTCGGGTTGCCCTCGAGCAGAGACAGGAGCGTGACGACGGCCTCCCTTCTCTTGAGCTTGTTCACGTCCTTGCTGCGTCCGCCGAACAGGATAAAGTAAGTGGATAAGCAGCGCGTGGGGTTGGGAGTTTGGGGCGGGGGGAAGTCTCACCACCGTGGAAGCGCCAGCACCCGCCGGTGTGTTGGCGCGGACTCGACGAGCTTGGTGCCCACCTCAGCGCCGCCTGATTCTCACCGCACGGACCTTGAGGTAGCAACACAAAAAAACAAGGGGACTCGAGCCAGGTCAGCACACCAGCCTTGTGCAGGAAAGCCACACGTCTCAGGGTCACGTGTACCCCAACTGACAGTATTCGAGGTGCGCGAGGAGGTGAAGCAGAGCTGAGGTGGGGCGATGGCTTGATGTTGGTGGCATCGATCTCGCACGCGCTCCACGGCCTCGGGAGGGTAGGCCGCGGTCTCCGAAATCACCTCGTACGACTCGCTGCTCGTCTCCGTCTGCGGTACCTCAGGTACTTCTGTAGGAGCCCTCGGTCAGCTCGTTGTCGATACCGGTCCTGCACCACCACCACCACCACGACGCGATGACGACGATGATGAGACACTATCATCGCATACAACACAGGATCTCTCCCGACGGACGTACCCGAACTTGTCGTTCCTGAAGAGGACGGCGTTGGCTCCGGTCCTCTGGTGCTCCTGTGCCCGCTTCCGCTCGAGCAGCCGGAAGTGGAATTGCTGCTTTTCTGCAAGGAGGCACCAAAGAGTGAGCCTTTCTCGTGTCTGTGTGTCTTTGTGTGTGTGTCATTGGTGGTGTCGTGTTGCGTGCTGTACCTTTGATTTCGATGATGATCGCCGGATGCGGGAGCGGATCTCGGGGGGAAGAAGCCCTCCTCCTCCTGCCCGTTGATGAAGCACTACTGGAGCATGTACCGCCTGCACCTTTTCGTTGCCGCCGTGCAGAATGGCGATACCCAGTTGCAGCGCCTGGTGGTATTCATGTTGCGGCGACGATACCAAGTGGAGAATCTGTCAAACACATCCACAAAGTCAGCGTCGTGTCGTGTCATGTCACGCGCGCGCGTGTGTGGTGTGTGTTGGTGCGTGTTGTACGTACCAGATTGGTGGTGCCCATGTTGTTGAGCTTGTTCTGCATGTTGACCAACGACTGCACGTCCTTGTTCGTGGACTTGAGCGCGTCCGCGAGCGGCTTTTCCAGCAGAATGTTGAGCGTGCGCGTAGCGTCACCCAGGTCAGCTCCTGCTGCGTGCCCGAATCACAGTTCCTGCGTTTTGTTGTGTGTGTGTGTGTGGTGTGTGGTGTGTGGTGTGTGGTGTGTGGTGTGTGGTGTGTGGTGTGTGTGTTATTGCGTGTGAATTCTCGCGAGTGAGCAAACAGAGGTGTCCACGGCCAAATGATTGAATTGGGCAGCACACGCACTTGAGGAGCAGCTCAATAATGAGCTTCTTCGTGAAGGCGTCGAGGTGCTTGCGGAAGATCTGCGCCAAGTTCTGCAGAACTCTCATGTTCGATGCCGACTATCTTCTTCTCCTTGCTGTGCACGCCGACACGAGGCAGTGAGCCGACCGACAAGCAAGGAAGTGAAAAGCAGAGAAAGAGAAAGAGCTAACGTACAAATCCGGGAGATGCCTTGGATGGCCTTCTCCTCCCGCGGCGTGTCTACCGCAACGACAGACACCTTGGTCTCCTTCTCTGGAGGCGATTCAATGAGCACGCGCCACTCTTTGGAGGCCCTGTCCGGACACCTGGTACGCCTGGTCGACATATTCAGAATCAGTTCTCTTGTTCCAGTGTCGTGTCGTGTCGTGTCGTGTCGTGTCGCACCTTCTCAGGATCGGTGCCGCGAATGTTGACCTCGGGTCGGTTCACAGCGTCGATACACCTGCCCACCTCCACACGCCGAGCGTGGGTGGGTCCCTTGGCGTAGAAGAGAGGCCGTCCACCATGTAGTACGCCACCACCACCTTGTGGCGTCTGGTGAGGGAGAGAGCCACTGACTGACAGTCAGCCGGACACGCTCGTCGTGGTGTGCGATGGTGCGGTGGCATGTTGCGTGTTGCGTGTTGCGTGTTGCGTGTACCGTTTCTTACTGTTGCGGTGGTGAACCGTACATGGCGGCGTCCTTGCGGTTGTAGTACTTGCCAAAGTAGTTCACAAGGAAGCGGATGATGCCGGTCACTACGTAGTCGAGCGCCCCTTCACCACGCTCTCTCCACGATATAACCGGGAGGGAGGAACCCCATCAGCTCGACTGGCGCACAGTTCAAATGTGTAGGGAATGGAAGCAACCAAGAAGGTGCCTCGATGTGTGTGTGGTACTAGGTACCCTTGCTGTTGAGCAGGTTGGTGAGGTCGATGGGCTAGAGAGAGCTCCTTGATGTAGTGCTCCATATGGAAAAGATCGATGTCCACCGCTGAGGAGGGTCCAGCTCGATCGCATTCTTGGGCTTCTTCTGGGTGAGCAAGGTGTACACCTGCTCGCAAAAAGAGAAAAAATTGAGCCAAGTTTGATCGTTTTCTTGATGCTCCGCACCTGGTTCACGCGGGGTTGGCCAGCCGGCGTTTGATCTGGCCCGTAGGAGTAGTAGAGCGACTGGCAACGCACCTCTGCCTTCATCACATGGGCACTCGTGAGAATTGGCCGTCACAACACACACACACACGGACGCACAGTGCACCGCAAAAGAAGTGCAGACATCGGCGCGGCAGGCTTCGCTCACCTGTATGTTCGATTGCTCTCCGGATCGTTGAAGAGCGTCAGGAGGGCCTCGTACCATGAGGGCTTGTGCATGTCGATTGGGGCAGCTTGTTGGTTTCGATGGCGTGGCCGATCTTTTGCCAATCTGGACTTCGGCGATCTGCGAGCAGAGTGCGCGGTTGTGGAACATGCGTCTCGTTGATGATTGTCACCGCCACATGTAGAGGTCCCTGTAGCCACCAGGTCAGCTTCCAACCACCATCTAACCAACGTGAAGTGAGACCTGTTCGTAGACGAGCACGCGTTTGCACATTCTTCGAATTTGTCCTGAGATCAGCGCGCAGAGAGGCAGGCTTTAAAGCTCGGTACCGCGGCGAGGAACTGGAAGACGGAGCGGAGAAGAGGGAAGGGCTTGTTGAAGGGCAGGTGAAGCAGCTCGATGGCCACCTTGTGTGTGCGCCTCCAAGTTGCCTTCAAGAAGATGCGCTGGTTCGTGCACGTTCACGTTGTTGTTGCCCTTGACGGGGAGCCTCGCAACAACATGTCGATGATGGGCACGATCAACGAATCCGATCCGTTCTTCTCCAGGAAGGATTTGAGATAAATCATCCATCCAGTTTTTGCGCCACCTGTAGCGCAAACATGGCCACGACTCGTAAGCGACTACATATTTTTTTATTTTATGTGCAAGGCCCCCAGATTGATTATGTTGTGTTGTGTTGAAAACATACCAATTGGGGGTTTCTTGGTGGGTGAGTCGGAGCTCGGGGCGGCCTGCAGCCCGACAGAATTCTGGAGCGGACCCTCCCGGCGGTACACGGTCATGTGTGCGGCTACCACACTCCGCTCTCACTGGCCGGGAGCGGAGGTGTCAATGGTAGGTACCAGGCAGAGGTTGGACAGCAGCTTGACAGTCGTCGAGGACGAGAGAGGAGAGAGGGAGAGAGAGCACCACGGTGAGTCCAAGCCACAAATTCACAAGCAACGACGACGACGACGATGTTGATAGTGTTGATAATGTTGATCGTTGCAGCAACGTGGTGATCATTTGGGCCGTGCTCACGAGAAGAAATAATAATAACGATGAGGGAGAAGGAGGAAGGGGGGGGAGGAGATATGTGCGTACCGCCTTTGCTGCAGAGGCTGTTGTTGTTGTTGGCGACCTCCCTCCCCCCAATCGCACGCTGCGTTCGGTGGGGCGATTAGAGGGTGCGCCGAGCACAAAAGATCGCGGTTTGGTACGGTTTCGTTCCCACGCCCGCAGGGGGGTAAAGTAGGTCAGGGGTGTTCGCCTCGCTGACGTGGCATATAGTAATAATGCAACCCTTTTTTAGGCTCTTTTTCTTTGTGGAAACGTCGACTTGCCAAAATAATAAAAGCGCTGAGCGCGCGCTTTTTTCTATTCTTGGTGTTCCTCCGCTCCACCCCGGCGTGGTATTCGCATTTTGTTCTCGTCGTCACGACTGATGATTGATTCTTCTATTGGTAGTACCAACATTGTACCAACTAGATGATTTTGTTGGCGCATTACCAGCGCGCTGTGAGATCCAGCAGAAGATGCGGGTTTTCCGAATGGCCGGCGCCATCAATGGCCGACGACAACAACAACAACAACAAGATGATTAGCGCATTATATCCATCAACCCACGAGTGGCGCGCACGCTGTGAGATCCAGCAGAAGATGCGTTTTGGCGACCCTCTATAATGTACAACGACGACAACAACAAAGTATGTTATTTTGCTCATCTCTCTCCTCAAACGTCAACAACAATAAATACATATATATATATATATACTTCTATCCATCTACGCCCAAGTGGGGGAGGCCTCGCCCCTCCTCCTCCTACAGCTAGCTACCCTCCGTGTACTCTCCACCCTCGCCAACTTGGCGTGTACGTCGCCCGTGGAGTGGTGGTGGTGATGGTGGTGGTTGGTGTCGTGGTAGTGCTTCATCCCTCCGCCGCAAGGCACTCACACGTTTCCTCTTCTTCGTTCGTCTTCGTCGTCGTCTTCTTCTTCCTGTTCTTGTTCTTCCCCAGAGTTCGCAGACGCGGCGGGGCTTGTTCCTCCCCCCTCCTATGTACATCAATCCCCCCCCGGCTCCTCCTTGCCCTCTCGCACGCACACGCGCTCTTTCAGCGTTTTTCTCCTTCTCTCGTGTTGCGTGTTGCGTGTTGCGTGTTGCGTGTTGCGTGTTGCGTGTTGCGTGTCGTGTGTGTATTGGATGTTTCGCGTGTCGCGTGTGTATTGGATGTTTCGCTTGTCGTGTGTGGTCGTGTTCTTGGTCAAATCATTGGTTGTCTGTGTTGGATGTGTCGTATGGTGTGTTGTTGGTCGTGTTGTGTTGTGTTGTGTTGTGTCGTAGGTCGTGTCGTGTTGTTGGTCGTGTTGTGTTGTGTCGTGGGTCGTGGGTCGTTGGGGTCATGTCGTGTTGTGTCAGGCACTGACAGCGTTTGAGTTCTTCTGCTCAGGCGAGGCGGAGATGGCGGTGCGGCAGCACGACCGCAAGACCGAGGCGGAGGAGCTCAGCAAGACGCTTGCCGCGCAGCTCGATATCAAGGACCTCAACATCACCGCGCTCCGCGAGAGCAACAAGGCCAAGGTACACCCCTCGTTCCCCCCCCCCCACTGTGTGTCGTGTGTGTGCGTCGTGTGGCGTGTCATTGGTCATGTTTCACTTGCCGGCAAATTGTCACTCACTAACTCTTACCCTTTGTCGTGGTGCATGCAGTAGAAGTGTACATGTTATTGCGCCACAAGGGCGATAATAGTATTTTATTGATACACACAACATGACGCGACGCGACATGACACGACACGACCAACGACACGACACAACAGGACGCGACACGACACGCCACACGACACGCCACGCCACGCCACGCCACGCCACACGACACGCCACACGACACGACCAACGACACGACATGCCAGCCACGCCAC